TGTCCCTCTTCCTCACCAACCACATCCAATAAGTCACCAGGTCCTATGAGTTCTACTTCCAAAATGTCTCAAATTTATTTACTAGTCTTTCTGTACCACCACTCTTCCATAAATCATCAACAATCACATGGACTATTGTACCTCCTCTCCACATGCATTCAAGATTCTAACAGCAGCCAAAGTAATCTTACTAAAATACAGTACATTGCTCTGTACCAATATGTGCAATTCAGTGGGTGCTCGTCAATGTACTCGAGAGAAAAGGACTCCCAAGAAGGAGAGTAGAAGGGGCTAAGTTTTTTTGTTTTCCTCTGTTCTGTTTTTCCAGCTTTACTGAGATACAATTGATATATAACATTGTGTAAGTTTAAGCTGTCCAACATGATGCTTTGATAAGCATGTATATTGTGAAATGATTACCACGATAAGATTAGTTAATACATCTATCACCTCACATCATTACAAATTTGTGTGTGTGGGAGTGGTGAGAACATCTACTTTTAGCAACTTTCAAATATATAATACAGCATTGTTACCTACCATCACCATACTGTAATTAGATCTCCAGAACTTACTCTTCTTATAAGTTTGTATCCTTTGTCCAAAATTTCTCCATTTCCCCCACCCCCCAGCCCCTGGCAGTCACCATTCTACCCTCTGTTTCTGAGTCTGACCTTTTTTCCCCCAGATTCCACATATATATGAGATTATACAGTATTTGTCTTTCTCTGTCTGACTTAACTTCACTTAGCATAATGCCCTCGAGGTCCATCCATGTTGTTGCAAATAGCAGGATCCCCTTTTATGGCTGAATAAATATTCCATTATATATACATGCATATATACCAAAATTTCTTCATCCATTCTGATGAACATTTAGGTTATTTCCATGTCTTAGCTATTGTGAATAACGCAGCAATGAACATGAAAATGCAAACATCGCTTCAAGACAGTAATTTCATTTCCTTTGGATCTATATACCCAAAAATGGAATTGTTGGATCATATGGTGGTTCTATTTTTAGTTTTCTGAGGAACCTCCATACTGTTTTCCATAATGGCTGCACTAATTTATATTCCCACCAACAGTGCATGGGGATTCCCCTTTTTTTCACAACCTCACCAACTCTTATTGTCTCTTGACTTTTTGATAATAGCCATTCTCACTGTGGTTTAGATTTGCATTTCCCTGATGGTTAGGGATGCTGAGCATCTTTTCATGCACCTGTTGGCCATCTGTAAGTCTTCCTGGGAAAAATGTCTACTCAGATCCTCTGCCCATTATTTAATTATATTGTTTGGTTTTTTGCTATTGAGTTGTATGAGTTCTTCAGATATTTTGGATATTAACCCCTTATCTGATATATGGTCTGCAAATATTTTCTCCCATTCCATAGGTTGCCTCTTCTGCTATTCCTGTGCTGTGCAGAAGCTTTTTAGTTTGATGAAATCACACTTACTGATTTTTGCTTTTATTGCTTGTAGTTTTGTTGTCATAGTCACAAAATCATTATGAAGACCAACTCCAAGGAGCTTTTTCCCTGTGTTTTCTTCTAAGAGTTTTACATTTAAGTCTTTGATCCATTTTGAGTCACTTTTTCTGAGTGATAAAAGATAGGATTGGACCTAAGTTTAAATAACTGGGGGTTTTTTAGAACTTCATAATTGAGAATTGTTTTATGCATTTATCTTTTAGGATAAGAAAAGTACTTCAGCTTCAAATTCAGACACAGAAATGAAACCTGAACAACTGCCTCCTTGTGTGAACCCAGGCAATCCTGTGTTTTCATGTATGTTGGACCCAAAGACACTCCATACAGCTACCTCACTATCGAAACCTAAGATGATTATGTATAAAACCAATTCGAGTAATTACGGTGAATTTTTACCTATGCCACAGTTTCTCCCCTGCTATTATGCTCCAAAGGATCAAGTGTTTTCAAGCCGTATCAGAGCTACTGGATTTTATCAAAATAACACTCTAAACACTGCGCCTGACAGAACAAGAACCCTTGATTTTCCTAATTTTCAACACACTCTATGAAAATATATTACTCCTAAAGAGAAAATACACTCAGGAAAAAATGAGTTTTAAATCTAAGGCTAGGATACTTAATTTGAAATATAAAAAGATTTGTATTAATTTTTTTAAATACCTAAAGCATTACAAAAGATAACTGAATGAGTGACTTCTTAAATAAAAATGTGTTCAAAATAGAATAAAATGTAAAAAGCATTTCATTATATCCTAGTTTTATTTAGTTCATGTAACTCTAAAAGCTTCTAAAGTATTTCAGGACCTCAATTGTCTACTGAGTATATTTATCATGACAAAGGAACACAGGAACTCTAACATGAAAAACTGGAATTAAGGAAGATTCTGACCAGTAATTTCCTGCTTTTCAGTTATTTCGACTAGTAGCTTAGAACGTGGAGGAATATTAGTTCCCACAGCCAAACTGGTGGAAGAGAAGACTTCATTCATTCATTTATTGAACATCTACTCATGGTAGGCACTATACGATGCAAATGGAACACAGTAATAAAATACCATGTCTTTTACTGTTCCAATAAACAACATTTTTGGAAAAATGAGATCAGTAAATTAGTAACACATGATAATTTATGTACTGTAAAATATCTAAAAGGTCTTTCAGACACAGAGACAGAATTGCTTAAATTGAGACCAAAGCAATCTGGAGAAACATCCTGGAGGAGGTAAAGCCAAATCAAAGGAAAGGTCAGTCAGGCAGAAGAAACGTTATGCATAAAAGAACAGAAATGTGAGAGAATGTTGCATATTTTTACAAATGCAATTACTTTGATATATCTTAAATAGAGAGCATGAGTAGTGGTGGATGATGGACTGTTCAGTTATTTAAACTCTGTAATCCCATTGTATACAGAGATTTATTTAGCTGCCATCTGTTGAAACCTCCTGTTCAAATAGATCTGAGTACCTTTACTGGAAAAAAAAATCACTGTTCTTATTTTTCCCTGTTGGTTCAGGATATTCACATCAATTAAAGAATAATCTTTTGAGTCACTAGGGGATCAGAAAAGTTAGGTTCAGAAAAGTTGAACCTTCTATTTACAAAAATAGCTTGATGTAAGAAAACAGCTCAAACTCTGCAGCTTCATAAAATGCTTCCAACTACCCCAAAATATGGTATTTGGTAATGGCACAAGAAAGAAAAAAATCAGTTTTGTTCATTTCCTCTAAAACATCAAAAATCAAGGCAGTGCACAAGATTTCCAGGTGAATAATGCAGCAGAATTTCAGTTTACCAGCCTTTTCTCTGCACAAACTATACACACTATTTCCCCCCTTCACTGTAGGTGCTTGATTTGTGGCAAGTGAAGTCAGCTTTTTAATATGTAGAATCTAGAGATTAAAGTTCCTTGCTGTGATAGGTGGTTAGGCCCTGTTTTGTTTTTGTTGTTGCTAAAGTAAGAGAGGATGAATATCTCAGAATCAAGCATGTAGTCTGAAATGCCAATTTGTCATTCAGTGCCTATTAAAGTCCAAGGACTATTCTAGGCACTAAGTACCTGCCTTCATGGAGGTGAGAGTCTAATAAATTCTAGTAGGGGAAACAAACCAAAAACACGTGTATGAATATATGTATATATTCATATATAAATGTTATAGAATCTAAATATGTATATGTTTCTGTTACACATGTGTATGTTATACATGTTTATGCACACACAAATATTTATAAATATTTATATGTACATATAAATATGTAACTGTAAAATAGCTGCACATATTTACATGTAAATATTTACATCCATATGCATATAACATTCATGTATTTATGTTACACAAATTTTATCTATGTAAAAACTTTATTTGCATGTTCTTTACATGTAAATGTTTATATATGTCTACATGTGTAAAATACGCCAGGCAATAAGAGTTACGAGGGAAAAATAAAATAGGGTTGGGGAGGCGTGCTTGGGCAAGGAGTTATTTTAGGTAGGGAAGGGTATAAACTGGTATTTGATCACACTCCTGAAGGAACTGAAGGGGGTTCAAGCTGTTGAGGCAACTAAATATCAAGTCTGGAGTTCAAGGGAGAAGCCCACGTTGAATATAATCAATTTAAACAACATCTACACAATGATATTATTTAAAATCATGAGACCAGATAAGACAACAAAGTGTAGGCAGAAGAGAGACCTGAGGACAAATCTCCAGGGAACTCTAACATTTAGAAGTCGGGGATGATCAGGCATGAACAGATGAGACCAAGAAGTGACGAGTGAAGTGGGAAGAAATGAGGAAGAGTGGGATGCCCCAAAGCCACATAAAGAACTTGTTTCAATATGAGGGAATGGCCCAGCTGTGTGAAATGATTTGGGGAGCTAGTGCATGGACTGAGACCTGAGGGTTTGATTAGGCCTGGAGAGATCACTGGTGACCTCAACAAGAACTGTTCGGTGAGGTCCTAGAGAGAAAAACTGTACTGGAATAGATTTAAGAAAGATTGAAAGAAGTAAAAACTATGTTTTAGTCATTTTGCTGTACGCTGAACAGAGAAATGCGGTGATAGCTAGAAATAGACGTGGGGCAAAAGGTTCCTTTTTAAAGATAGGATTATAATATAGCATATTTGTATTTTGATGGAACCACATTTTGAGAACCACTGACCCAATGGTAATCAGTTCTATAAAGAAAAATCAAAGGTATGGATAGGATAAATACAGAATTATTCACCAACTTATAGTATATTTAGAACTAGGATGCATAAGAACAACATATAAGAATCATTAGCATATTGGCTGTAAAGTATTAATTAAACTACTCTGCGAGATATACTAAATAAAGCAGTACATTTGGAATATGCTATCCTAAAATGTAAAAAATAAACATACTCTGTTACCGCCCCCCTCAAAAGACTCCATTTCAGATACCTGTTTAAACAATCAACTCTCCTGGAAAATATTTAAAGCACATTAATTAAAAAACTCACATACTTTAGGCAAACTTTCCTACCTTTACACAATTATCAGAATATTTGAAGTTTTACTTCCATTTCTTGACTCATCAATTCTGGAAATATGGCATGAGCTCTCAGCTTTAAATGAAACTGAAGGCTTTTCTTCCTAGAGGAATATTTTATCAGTTTGGTTAGGACTTTTTCCTCTTTTAGCTATAAACTAAAAGATTATCATAAATATAGTTTACTCCATGAAGAATCTAATTAATATATTTGACCAAATGATATTGATTAGCTTTATTACTAACTATAATAGCTCAAAATTATTCTGAGTTTATTATGTTCTAGGTACTATACTGAGCAGTTTGTTTACTAAACAAAAACCATGTTTATTTAGGTCATAAAAAGACTAAAAGGAAGTATGTTGTAAGTATCGTCAACAGCAGTTCCTTAAAGAGAATATCTTGATAGATGATCTCAGGGTCATATGCCTTTAAAACATTTAAGAAGGGGAAATCACATGTTAAAGAGAAGATGCTGGTAACCTGGTAATGACTTTTAAAATTAACCTGGTTTTATTGTTAGTACAGGAGAGTTAGTTACAGTGAAGTAAGCCTTGAGGGAATTATCCTAAGCTTTGTAGGAATGAAGAAGCCTGTTACGGGGAGTTGGAATGCATGATGCTATGATACATTCCATTCATCAAACTAATTATCCTTGTTCTGCGTTCATGTTTGCCAAGCAACTCTGTGATCTGATTTACCTGATACATAGTTTGCTTATAAAGAGAAATGAATTGTCATATGACCTACCGTGACCATGAATGTCCTCAATTTCCGATTATGAATTAATAATAAGTAGGCAGTCTGTCTTGTTCATTCTCCAGAGCTTCGTTAATGTGCGTGTGATCCTCGGAGACGGGTCAGCTCTTGAGGATGCTCTTGGGTCTTTGTCTGAGACTGAGCCAGAACAATTACATAAGGTAATGAAACACACCCCTGTTGCCAGGCTTCTTGGGAAATCACCTCCTAACCTTTTCCCCTGATGGTGTGTGCAAAAATCCTTTGCCCTTTTTCTCCAAATAGATGAGGTTTGTTGGAAAGTACATGGCTTGCCACTGACAAGTGGTCTCTCCTTGACCAAATTCTAAAGACTCCTCTGAGCCACTTTTTCAACTACACCTCATCCTTGTGGAAGCAGATAGGGGAGGGGGTGCCTGGGGAAAAAGAACCAGATATAGCTTCTTGACATAAGAGAAGCCATTTCAGGCCTAGCCATTTTGTGATCTAAGCCTGGACACAATGCTTGCCCTTGAACAGGTCTCAGTCATAATGACCTAAAGGGAAAAAAGAACAAAAAAAAACAAAGGACTCTTATCAGGAAAGAGAAGTAACAATAGCAAAGATAACAAATCAGATAATAAAGACTCCCAGTTCTGTTTCAATAGTAAAGATTAGCCTTTACTAAAGATGAAGCACTTTCTTGAGCCGTTTTCCAGAATTTAACCCCTAGAGGGCTCGAACACCAGATCTGGTGAAAACTAAGGGTTGATGATGTTGACTCTGACCCTCATGACTTCAATCATCTAAATCTTGGACTCTGTTCACCTTTACGCCAATTCTCTGCTGAATTCTCTGCCCAGGCCCTTTCATGAGTATGCATGTACCCTGGGCTTACAACTTCCCTGATTTTTCTGTTTCAGGAGACATTGCTTTGGGAAAGATCCCTGGGGTTCTTCCTACTTGCTGCAAGTATTAAATCCTTCCTTCTGCTCTTTGCCTTGGTTGTGTCTTGTGGCTCAACACCCACCAACAGGTGAACCCAGCGTTCGGGTAACATTTATGTGTAAATCATCACACAGTAGTAGGGGATTAAAGAACTCCAATTAACATTACAACAAATGTAATGGCTATTATTTACCTTATTCTCCTCTTGGTATCAAGATTAATTTCAATCAAATGGTTGGCATTAGAAAAAGAAAAGAACTACCATAACAGTTTTTTCTTTTAACAATCTTTTATTCATAGGTTTTAATGATAACACTATTATTTGGGAGGCATGTTTTTATCATAAGTGAAATGAGAAGTCTGTATCTATATTTTAACTCTATCACTACTTCAGTCTAAGACAAAAGTCCCTTAATAGAAGATTGTTCAAAAGAAGTCAAGTATTTCATGAAAACAAGTGATCATCTGTTGCTTTTAAACCAAGACTTTACTTACAGGATAGAG